CGCTCTTCTCTGTAGGGACTGGAGGAATGCGGAACAACAGGAGACCATTAATGGGAGAAGAACCGAGGGAGTATGCAAACCGATCTGCGGTGCAATGGCACCGGGTCTCTGTCTACCCTGATCGTTTAGCAGATCTTGTGTTAAAGAGTGTTCAACCTGGGTTAGTTCTTTGCAATCTTATCCCTTTTCATCACAACTTTAGGTTTAGTTGATCTTGTCATGGTACTGTTAATAACCTAACCATTAGGCTATTACCGTGACCTTTAGAATTTGTAGAGCAGTTTTGGGTGATATCTGTTGGAAGAAGTTGAGCAAATGGTCGTGCTTTGGAAAATGTCATTTTTTACCGGCTCAATAATCTGGGATTTGCTTGGTCTGCCTAATCTTTAGATTTTGACTTTATCTGATTCTTTGGCTTCATTTGGTTGCATTTTTGGAGAAGATCAGGGCATTGACCTCATCAGTCGGGCCACCCGTTTAGTCTCATCTTCCATGTCTAACCAAGTTATGATCTCAAGTAGGTTACTGAAGATAGTCATATCAAATCTCTTAAGAAATCTGGATGTCATAATCTTCAGTAAGTTTGCCTTATGATTGAGAAAATATTTGACCATAGCATAGACGTAGTTAGCGCTTGATGACCATAGGTGGAGATCTCAGAATAATCTCCATTTATCAGTCCTTTTCATCTCATCTATTGCATTTTAATAGAAACTATAAGCCTGACTTCCAACCATGTAACTATTCAAATGCCTGTTGTATGACTCATGCAACGGATTAGCAATCGAAATGTTTAGTCCACCCAACCATGAACCATCTTTCCCATTAGAAAAGCTGTTTGCTTTGTCTTCTCAATCCTTACTAATCTTGCTGGATACCATGTCAGACAGCTGTAAAAACCAAGAACCGCTGATCCATAAACTGAATAATATATGCCTCGTTGATGGATTTGAGAAGAGGATGAAACTTTTACGCAAATCTCTGCTTTTAGAGTCTAATGAGAACAAGCTTCCCATTGTCTCCTTTCATGTCAGCCGTTCCTTTTGCTAAATACAACCTTTGACATCATGATATCATGTTTTATGCAGCATGGTTGTTTATTTGGAAGGTAATTTGGAGACCAAAATCTTCTCAGATCCCATAAGTGGTGTAGTTCGTCGTATAAGGGAGGTTGCAATACGTAGAAACGGTACACTCACTCTAAGCCTTCTCTATTAAAGAACTTGCTTTTCTTTAGTTCTCTTCTACTCTATATCTCTCATTATTCATGTTGAACGGTTTTCACGACACATTATTTCCCAACGGGACAATGATGGAGTCCCACATCGACCGTGGGGAGGAATCTGGGACCTCTATATGAGGGAGGGTCAACCCTCCACCCTTGAGCTAGCTTTTGGGTGGAGTTAGGACCCAATCTCTATCAGTTGGTATCAGAGCCTCTCTCTGCGGGCCGGTGTGGGCTTTGTCCCAACCCTAGCGGTTTGGCCCGGTGGGCCGGCGGTTCGGTCCGGTGGGCCAGCGATCGGGTCGGGAGAGGAACCCAAAGAGAGGGAGTAGCCGCCAGCGACCATCAGCGTCGTGGTCGTCGCTGTCTAAAGGGGACGGTATTGATAGAGTCCCACATCGACCGTGGGGAGGAATCTGGGACCTCTATATGAGGGAGGATCAACCCTCCACCCTTGAGCTAGCTTTTGGGTGGAGTTAGGACCCAATCTCTATCGGACAATTCAGATATTGATTTCTGTATTGGATCTGCAGGGCGAATAGTGTTTCTAGGAAAAGACAGCGATATGCAGCAGCCAAGCCTTTCGGAGCTCAGAGGTGTCGGTTACTTCTGATTGAATCAGACACATCAGAAGGTGTATCTGCTCCTTTTATGCTTTTCTTTTCATTGTTCCTCTCTTGTAACTTGGTGAAAGTGAAGGGTTAGCTTCAATTCTCTCTTGCAAAGACCGATCTTTGATCCAATTTGTCCCCCATTGGAAGGAGTTAGGGTTCAATGGCTCGAGAGATGTCAGTCTCAAATCTTCAAAAGCCACAAGCTGTAATGTCTTCTTCATGGTATTTCAATTTCACATTTGTAACGTAGATTGCTTTTAATGGTTATGTTGTTCCGCTGTTTCCAATGTTGAAGTCCAAATGGCAAATACTACCCCTGTCAAAATCCTGATTTAAAAAAAAATCCTAAAATGAATAAAGAATATAAATAGCACTCTAAAGAAAGAAACATATCACAACCTAAAGCAACGTCAAATTGTTTTTCACTGTCCAAGAACTCAACCATTTTAAAACAAAATTTTAGAAGTTGTTCTCTCTCTTTTAACATCTCTCTCTTTTTCGCGGTTTTCTTTCTTTCACAACTTTTCTCTCTTTCTCAGTTTCTTTCTCGGCTCTCCTCTCCTTTCTATACACACAGAAAAACAAATAAAAATAATTTTTTACATCGATTACATCTTCACCCATGGCCTCAGTCGTCATTCGCGATTTGGTCAAAAACAAAATAATTAACAAAAACTGAAGATAAGTTTGGTAGTATTCGAGATTGATTCGATTAATGAAATTTGTGTTATTTGGGTTTGAGTTTGTGATTTTAATGTGAATTGTGTGGCCTTCGATGAAAATGGGACAGTTGCAGAGCAAAGATGTCAAGAAATGTGCAAGAAGCGCATCTCTAGTCCCAAATAGATTTCAGGACGGTAATAAAATAATTGACAATAAAACAAAGGTACATCATACAGGTCACACCACTCAATTCTAGATACACTGATCATACCACTTTATATTAAACTTTGATCACACTAGTCATAATAATCACATCATTCAAAATTTAATTTTGGTCATATTGATCACACTGGTCACGTAATTCAAAATTTAATTCTGATCCACTGTTCACATTGATCATATTGGTCACACTAGTAACATCACTCAAAATCCAATTATAGTCACACAAATCATATTGGTCACACCATTCAATACTAAACTCTGGTCACATTGGTTACACTAGTCATATACCAAAAAATTTTAAAATTTTTGTGACGGAGGAAATTTCAAAATTTTTAAAATTAATTTTTTCATAGAAAACCGAAAATTACTCTTTCCATTAATTTTGTACCGTGTTGTCAGATATCTCAAATGTATGGACCCCACATATGGGTGTTAATAAATCTTGAAGCCCGAAAATCTGTTCGAGCTCGTTCGAAAAAATTAAGGGTTTGACCTAATAATATAGGCACGATAAATAAATGGACGGGCCGACTAATACAAAAAAATTTAGGCCTGAATCAAGCCCGACCCAAAATGCGTGTGACTACTCCATTTAATCCGAAAAAATATTGAATGATTAGATTTCTACTTACACTCGAGATATCATGTTACACAACATTAAATAAAAAATTTTATTTGTATATTTTATATATATATTTCAAAATATTTCAGTTAATATATATACACTAAAATTATATATTATTTTTTCTAAAATAATAAATAAATATATATATATATATTATTGAATGGTTTGATTAGATTTTGGTTTGATTTATATATATATATATATGTATGTATATATGAAAATATTTTATGGGTTTAATTTTGATTTTTAAAGTTGCATACCAATGTTTTTAATACTTTTTTTATTATACCGAATATCTCTTTTATATTATATATATAGTAAAAATTTAGATAAATTTATATATTTTAAAATTTACATAGTAATTTTTTAGATTTAATTTTTTTAATCATAATTGATGCGGATGAGAATTTACTATTGTTAATTTTTAAATAAATTTAAATAACTCAACATTATTGTTATTATTATTATACATTAATATTTAGGTTCCAAAGTATGCAAACGGAGTGCACTTCTTTTCAGCTTTGTTGTGCTGTACCCAACCCAATAAATGCTAAAATGTTATTAGCCTAATCCATTTTAACAAAATACTTTCACTTGACCGAAAAGAAAAAGAAAGTGGAAGCAAAAGGACCAATTGAAAGCAAAGAACATATTATAACTATTCTCTTTAGGCGATATCGCCAAAAAAACCCTGTACTCTTTTCAGGTTAACGAAAAAAACCCTGTACTTTTTTGTTTATCAATTAAACTCTGTACTTGGTGTGATCAACCGATAAAACCCCGAACTTTTTAAAAATTCACTGAAAACCCCCCACGTCTGTCAACTCAAACAAAAATGATGATGTGGTAATGACATGGCTTCCAAGTCATGCACACATCATCATAATTATGCCACATCATCATTTCAAACAAAATTTAAATTAAATAATTTATTTAAATTAATATATATATATATATATATATATATATAAATCCACACATATATATATACATATTAAAAATAAAATTATTTGTAATTAATAAAACACATATACACATAACTATAACATAGCGAGTGCAAAGCATTTTGAATTTTTTCAAAATTTATTTTTCTCCAACGACTATATTTAAAAAATAAAAAAAAATCAAATTTTGGCTCTTCCCCAATAGTTAGAAATAGTAAATTTTACCCTATAAATACATCCATCCATTCACTCAAACAACTTACACCAAATCATCTTATGTATATAAAATTAATTATAATTACTTTTATTTTAATATATATGTATTAGTTATAATATAATATATGTTATAGTTATGTATATATATGTTTTATTAATTACAAATAATTTTATTTTTAATATGTATATATATATGTGAATTTATATATATATTATTTAATTTATTTATTTAATTTAACTTTTGTTTGAAATGATGATGTGATATAATTATGATGATATGTGTATGACTTGAAAGCCATATCATTGCCACATCATCATTTTTGTTTGAGTTGACAGATGTTTTCGGTGAATTTTTAAAAAGTTAGGGGTTTTATCGGTTGATCACACTAAGTATAGGATTTAATTGGTAAGCAAAAAAGTATAGGATTTTTTCGTTGACCTGGGAAGAGCACAGGGTTTTTTTGGCGATTTCTCCTTTTCTTTATCAGTTAAATGAACAAAAAATAGTGGCGGCCATCATGGCTATCCATTTATAAACCAAAATTTGTTATTGTATAAATTGTATTCAAAATGAATATGATGTAAAAATAAACTTATTATCTTTTTTACAAAACAAAACTAATTTAAAATGAAAAGGAATATACAAATTACTAAAATTTTCAAATAAACAAATTAGAAAAAATATTCAATTGTTAAAATCGAACACGAATTGAATTTAAAATCGTTTATATATATATAGAAAATCGAAAAATCATTGTTATGCAAAGATAATAGATCCAATTCTAAACCATCAATGCTATTTCCAAATAATGACGGTGAATAGTATATAAGAAGAAATGTAAATAAAAAAGAAAATTGATATTCGATACTAAAGATCTTTGTTATCCTATATGGAAATATTTCCATAAGCATTTATGTTTTGATAAAACCCCCACACACGCCCTTGAGGATCATAGATTATATTACAAAATTTTTAATAAATCTTGCATAATTTCAAATATTTTTCTTCTCACACATAATTCGTATATAGACAATTAGAAAGTCTTTATATATGTATATATATAATTATTATCGTAATATGTGGGTTATTCTATTTTTATAAATGGGCTTGGCTCTAGAGTATGTCTTGTACAGAATAATTTATTTGGCCTGTGAAGCTTAGAAATTTTGATATTTGATTTAATTTAATTTTATTAAAACTCATGCGTGTATGGACTTTTGCAGAATTAGGACGAGAAAGGACAAACATAAGTAGATCATAAGAGTTACAAGTACCCTCTCATGTCGAGAAAGGACAAACATAAGTAGATCATAAGAGTTACAAGTACCCTCTCATGTCATGTCCCACGGTCTATGTAAATATTGTTATAAATAAAATATATTTATGGTGGAGTCCACCGGTATTATTTATACTGACGTACTATTTATATATACGATACTGTTCACACCGATCGTATACGTGAACAGTAATTTTGGGATTTCTATAAATAGACCATTTGGTTCTTCCATTTGTATACTTTCAAAAGAGAGATCAATAAGAAATAAATTTGATTCTGCATTATAAAAAAAAAAAACTTGATTCTGCATTCTCCTAAATACAGTTTTTGGTTTATAGTTAACGATCTAATATCTGGGTCATTAATATTTCTTCCGATTTCATAACGCGTTATCAGCACGAGCGCTTTTCTACAACCAAAAGATAAGATAATTTATCTTTAATACTAATATTTTCGTTTTTATGATATATATACATGTATTCATTGATGCTTGAGTGGAATTAACTCCAAACTATATATGAATACTGATATTCTTTATATTTAATTTGTGGATGACTATACTGCTTCGATTATTATTCATGGACGGCTATGCGGCTATGCCGCCTCAATTATTAATATGGACGGCTATACCGCTTTAATTATCTCGTTATTGGACGGTTATGCCGTCTTAATTATTTATTCGTTATTGGATGGTTGTGACGCCTTAATTATTTATTTGTTATTGGACGACTATACCGCCTTAATTATTAATATTGGACGGCTATGCCGCCTTACTTATTAATAAACTATTATGTTTATTATTTATGGACGGCAATGCCGTCTGAAATATTTTGCTTCTACGGACGGCAATGCCGCCATATATAATCAGGATATTACCTAGTCTATATAAATATATATTCACCGTGTCAAATATTACCATATATAATATAAATTTATAATAGTTATTTATAAAAAATAATATAAAATTAATCTAATAAATATATTAGTGATAAATTTTATATATATATAAACTTTTAAAAATTTTGTATATAACGATAGATTAATTATAAATTATTTGATTCCTAAATAATTAGTTAATTATAAACATAATATGATCAATTAATTTTACAAAATAGTTTACCAATTCGTTTTGATAAATTGTTTTGTGTATAGTTTATAATATAAATTGATAAAATAATTTATAATTTTTTCAAAATTTATTTTTCTCCAACGACTATATTTAAAAAATAAAAAAAAATCAAATTTTGGCTCTTCCCCAATAGTTAGAAATAGTAAATTTTACCCTATAAATACATCCATCCATTCACTCAAACAACTTACACCAAATCATCTCATTCTCTTCTCTTC